GGCCTCGGGGACCCGGCCGGAGATGCCCCAACTCCGCTCCGACAGGCGCGGGGAGCTCCGGGCGCAGCACCACTCCCCGCGCCGATTCCCCGTGTGCGCGGGGAGGTGCAGAGGAGATGGGTCATTTCTGTCAGGAGCTGGGTTTATAATCCATCCGTATAAATTCTTGGCATATTTCTCCGGGGATGTGGAGTGTATTTACCTGTTTTCGAGGCTGACAAAGGGGGTGAGAGGGGCCGGGAGCCGCTGGGGAGAGGGATGGGCTTTGCCCCCCCACCTGCACGTGGGGCTGGGGGGGGAAATGCCTCCTCCTCGGTCAGCGTTGGCGGCCGGGCTTCAGCGGGGTTAATTTTGTGCAAGAAAAATCAACTTTTCCTTGATTTCGGTGGAGAAGGACGGCAGAGCCGGGGCTATAAAGTGGTTTTCCAGTATTACAAAGCACTCCTGGGTTGGGTAGGTTGGTTTTTTTTTTGCTTTTCTTTTCTACCTGTAAAGTCCCGGTGAAGACTGGACAATTAATGACGTTGTTTTATTTCGGTGACAGAACCAAAAAAAAAATGGGCTTGTGTTGATTCAAAAGGTTTTCCTCTCTGGCTTTTTAGGTTAACCAAAAAAGAAAAAAAAAAAAAAAGGCCAAACAAACACTCAAACGTTTCATTTTGGGTCAAGTCCAAACATTTTGTTTAACATGAAACAAAATGTTTGGGTTTGGTTTCAGGTTGTTTAACCCTTTGGAATACGGTCAAGTTGATTTGTAAAGAAAATCACTGCTGAGAAATTAAGAGCCGAATAATTGTTTTGAAAGCGTAAGTGTGAAACACACTGGAAATGTCGAGGTGAAGCCTTGCTTAAAATCATAAAACGAAGGGAAACTTGGGGATTTTTTTTTTCCTCCTAATTCTCACATTTTTTTTCCAGCCAAAACGCTGCCAAATTTTATTTAAATTCAGAAATCACGTCTGGAAGGCCCAGGTTACTCGTTTGGCGTTTTTAAAGCGTGCTCTCAATAGAGCTCAAGATTTAACTCTGGGAAAACGATGCCCTTGGCTTAGCTGTGAACCAAACTGCTGCGAGAAACCGTAACGAGCTCTGTTCCATTAACTTATTATTAATCAGTAATTAGTAGGATCAGTCAGTGACACGAACCGCTCGTGACAAAAGTCCGTGTGAGCCCTGGGCAGGTGAGAGCCGTGGCCGGCGGGCTTGGCCGGGCAGGAGATTTAACTCTGGGAAAACGATGCCCTTGGCTTAGCTGTGAACCAAACTGCTGCGAGAAACCGTAACGAGCTCTGTTCCATTAACTTATTATTAATCAGTAATTAGTAGGATCAGTCAGTGACACGAACCGCTCGTGACAAAAGTCCGTGTGAGCCCTGGGCAGGTGAGAGCCGTGGCCGGCGGGCTTGGCCGGGCAGGAGCGCGCGAGGAGCGCGGCGCTGGAAGGACGTTCTCCTCACACCCTGCTGGTTGGCTCCCGCCTGCTCCCAGGGCCCCACGAAGACCCTCTTCCAAGCGCGGCGCTGGAGGAGCGCATTATTCGAGCGCAGAACTGTGACCAGGCTCGGGCTCCACGCCGGTTTTTCACCGTTCAAGCACTTCCTTTTAGTCCAGCGTCCTCCTGGGGTGCGGGAGAAATCCGGGGGTCTGGAATACAGCGCAGGCGCGCTGGCCACCGCGCTGTGCTTGCGCTAGAGCGAGAGAACGCAGGCAGCGTTCCGATTTTTGGCTGTCATTTGGTTTGTTCCCTAGACTGGTGTCACCCACCCCAAGGACACCGAAGTAATGCGGATTTAGGAAAGAGTCGTTTTACACCTCCGTCTTGTAGGACCCAGATTCAAGTGTTTAAAAATATTAAAGAATGATTTAAAATTACTCGGGGGGGATGTGTTGGTTTTGGTTTTCCGTTTGGGGACTTGCTCGGGTTTGCGTGTGTGGTTTGACCTCCTGCGTCCCAGCCGTTTGCATTCGGGCCGTGAGCGCGCCTTGCTGTTGCCGGAGGGCGGACACAGGGGTCTTTTTTAAATGAATACTGAGGGTTTTAGGTAATTACCTCCATGGGAATGGAAGGGAGAAGGCAGAGCAGCAAGCGTGGTGGGTGGGGTTTGGTGGCTGTGTGGGGGTCCCCGGGGCACGGGGTGCAGTGCGGGTGCCGCAGCCGGGAGCGGGGCAGGAAAAGCATCCCCAGCGCTTCCAGGTGAGAGGTTTCTCATTCTTCAGGGAAATATCTGCTCCCCATATCCATGTGTACGTGTGTGTTTGCCTGTCCCGTTGCATGTGCGTATCTTCAAAGGGAGAATCACACAGAATCACACAGAATAGTGGGGGTTGGAAGGGCCCTCTGTGGGTCATCTAGTCCACCCCCCTGCCCCAGCAGGGTCACCCAGAGCAGGCTGCACAGGACCTTGTCCAGGTGGGTCTTGAATATCTCCAGAGAAATAGCAATGAACATCATCATGGCAGCAGTTAACGGATGGGCTGCATTTAGAGTAGAATAAATTTCTCCTGGTGGGATCTGGAGGTGCTTTACCAGCATGGGTGAGAGCTGGATGCGCCCCGTGAGGACACCAGGGTCCTCTCTGCTGCTCCCTTCCTGGGGGGAGCAGCCTTGGGAGCCCCCAGCCCGCCAGCCCCTGCCTCCCTGGGGCAGGACAGGGCTCTGCAGGGCCAGGATGGCACTCGGGGAAGGATGTGCGCTCAAGGGATCTTGTGTCCTTCTAAAAAAGAACAATAACGGGTTTCCATCATGGGAAGAAGCAAATACCGGGGTGCTTTTCCCCCACCGGCAGAGATTAACCCTTCGTTTCCCTCCCCGCAGCGAGGACCCGTGGCGGGCGGCGAAGATGATCAAGGGGTACATGCAGCAGCACAACATCCCGCAGCGGGAGGTGGTGGACGTCACCGGCCTCAACCAGTCGCACCTCTCCCAGCACCTCAACAAGGGCACCCCGATGAAGACGCAGAAGAGAGCCGCCCTCTACACGTGGTACGTCCGCAAGCAGCGGGAGATCCTCCGGCGTAAGTACCCGCGCCAGCGCTGGCCCCTCGGGGCTGGCGGGGGGGGAGAGGGGGTCCCCGCATCCCGCTCCTGCGCGTGGATACCCGGCATGCGGCCGGGAGCAGCCCCCTGCCCCCTCCTCTGGCAGAGCCGCCCGGACCCCAGCATCTTCCCCCAAACAGTTGGGCAAGTGAAGTGAATTTCGGGCGCAGGGGAACCGGGCGAGAGCCCCCCTTGCCCGCAGTAGCTCTACGCGGGTGCTCCCCAGCCCACCCACACAGCTGGGCTGCCGTGTGTTTATGTTTGTTAGAGCTGGGGGAGCGATTAATGATTAGACGCAATTAGACGCCTTTCCCACCTCTGCCCCCTTTTCCGCGCTGGTTCTGGAGACCGCTCGTTTTCTGCAACTGCTTGCAAAAAAAAAGCAAAGAGAGAGGAAAGAAAACACCTGCAAGCTGCTCCTGTCCGTAGTCTTGGGGCAGTCTGTGCCATGTAAAATGCCGATGATTTTGACCGAGCACACGGACCGTTGCTTCTGGGCGCCTCTCCCACCAACCCCGGCCCCGGGCTGGTCCCGTACCACCGAAGCAGCCCCGTTTTCAGCCGAGCTGCGGGTTGGGGCACTGCCACCCCCCTAGAAGGGGCTCTGCCTCCCTCCTCCTAAAGGATGCGATACCCAGCGGCTGGGAAGTGCAGGAAAGGGTTTAGCACCAAATACCATTGCTTTGAAAACACACCTTGAGACGTTCGAGCAAACAG